CAACCTCCCTACCAGACCCTCCACCCTCTCCTGCACCCAGCCTGCCTCCCAGCTCCCCCACCTCTACCCAGCTCTTGCGCACAACCTCTTTCCCAGAGGTCAACCCACAGCCCTCCGGAGAGAGGGAAAAGCAGGGCTGGAACATGAGCATGGGCTCCCCACTGCAGATGCGGGCTGAGCCTTGACTCACCTGCAAGGCAGCAGTGACCAAATAGTCATCTCAAAAGGCTTGGAGAACCACTGATCTAGGTGATCCCCAAAACATCACAGTCACTGCCAAATACAATACAATGTGCTACAGGGAAGAGTGAGGGTGTGAATTACAACAGCTGAGTATGTACCTACCACTGACTTTGACAAGGATAAAAAAACCTTTAAGGTTCACTTATGAGGTGGACATTATGCTGAAGGCAGTGGCAGTACGCCAATTTACACCAGCTAAAGATCGGGCCCTATCTTGTGAAATCATAAGGGGCCACAAGGGCCCTCCTGCCTGTAACCCACTTATCCATCCCCACCCACTGAGCCTATGCTTTAGACATCCACACTCGATGCTTTGCATCTCACAGAACTCTCCCTGATACTTTGAGCTGCCATCCCCGATTCTGTTTCCTGACTAAGGCAATTTTGCTTAAGGGTTTGTTTCCACACGGAGCAGGCCAGATTCTGGAACTGGTGAACAGGAATCAGTGCAGCTGCAGCTGGTGTAGACGAGGTTGGGCTGCAATGGCACAGGTACAGCTAATCGGATTCACCCCTGCTCATTCAGGATCATCTCTGCTTAAAGATCCCTTCACCCACCAGCATAGATGCTCTGTCAAAGAGAGCTCCTACCATTTGTGTTGCTGTAATAATATCTCCAGCATAAAAGCGACACAAACCAGCATCACAGCAATAACGCACCGAGAACATTTATTCCCCACACACATCTACAGTAACTACACAAACCAGATGAGTTTGTCTCAAGACATTTTTTTGCCTAGGATTTTTACATCAGCTGGAAGAATGTGATTTGCCTACTACTTTCAATCATTTCACTCCCTCCCTCAGCCTCCCAACGTAACTCTTACTGGTGCCTTGGATTGCTTATGTATATTTCAAGATGGACTGAACGGCCAATGGCAGGGCTGCCATGTTGGAGTCATAATGCCATCTGGTGGCCATTTGACAAAGGTTTATTTTCATTCGCTGGATCAGCAGATACAAAAGCTGGGGAGAGAAAGGGAGGAGGTGAGGAGACAGTCCCCAGTGCTGTACTGCTCTGTCCCCGGAGCTGAGAGGTGGCTGAGCAGAGGAACAAGCTGGATTCTGCATGCAGGCACATTGGTGTAAATAAAGAGACGCACGGACCAGCACTGAGCACCTGAAACAAAACCCAGTGAAGTCGATGGAAAGACTCCTGAATAAGTTAAGGCTTGAAGTCAGCGTTCACCCATGTACTGAATGCTGACCAAACCCGTGCACAGCCACACACACTTCTCCTCTGCTCCATGCACACAGGGAACACACTGTCCTATTGCTGCCAAGAGGTTTCTAGCACAACAGGGCTACTCACTGGGATCTGAACCAGAATTATGAGCTGAGAACACTTATTCTCAGGCAACCTGACAAGTGTCATTTCAGTCCTTATTGAGGGAGCTGTACAAGGTCCATAGGGTGAAACTTGCCTATTTCACCCGAGTCCCCCTTCCCTTTTTGTGCCTCTCTATTGATCATTTGAATTTTCATATTCTCATCCAAGTGATATTTTCTTGCTCCTGTGAGCCATTATAAATGTTCTATCTGTTATTGATTGTTCATCAGCGTCCAGCCAGTCATACATAATGAGATGATCTCAGAGGCTCAGCTCATCTGGCTGTTAGTGCTCTGGATCCTGGGTAAGGATCAAACCAGGAAAGAATTGTTTGAATTAAAATGAGTATTTAATATTTGCATTCCAGTAGCAATTAAAGGATCAAATCAGGGAATCTTTACTCCAGCCACTGTATGGACAAAGAACAAGACAGTCTCTGTGCTAAAGAGCTTACAGATTGGCCCAAGAAAGTGTTTAAATCCAGAACATTTGTATATAAGAGTCCATCAGAGCTTTATCAGCGAGTGTCACAAACTTATTAAAATTGCCAAAGAAAAAAAGATATGAAAAAGCTAAGAGCAATAGAGAAAGGGATTTAGAATGAAAGAGCCTAATCTTTTAACACCATGGCTAGGTACAGAGCTACAGTCGTTATACAAAGGTGCCAGTTAGAATCTTCATCCAGGTACAGTACAGTCCAGTTTGACTGTATGTGTATCTAACCTATTAAGTACATTTTTTTTCATAATTCCAGATACCAGAGGGGACATTGTGATGACCCAGAATCCAGAGTCCCTGGCAAAGTCTCCAGGAGATAGAGTCACCATCAATTGCAAAGCCAGTTCCTGCCTTTCTGACTACTTAGCCTGGTACCAGCAGAAAACGGGACAAGCTCCTAAGCTCCTCATCTACTTTGCTTCCACCCGCAACTCCGGGAGCCCATCCCGGTTCATTGACAGTGGGTCTGGGACCGATTTCACTCTCACCATCAGCAGGGTTGAAGTGGATGATGCTGGAGATTATTACTGTCAGCAAGACTACGAAACCCCTCTACACAGTGATATAGAGCAGCACAAAAACCTCCCTGTGCTGTTCAGTTCAGAGTCGCAACTGCCTCCTGCAGAGACCTGCTTAGTGCAGCTGCTACACTTATTTACACACTTACAGCCTTAAGGCCAGAAGGGGAAAGTTTTGTTCAGCCTTTCAGCACCACACGTCCTCCGTCCACCCACTGCCCCACACACAAAGTACGTACTCAAACCGGATGAGTCTCCGGCCAAAGAAATGTTCTTGCATAGAACTGGATTTTTACATCAGCTGGAGCATGAGTCCCCCACTACCTCCAATCATTTCACTCCCTCCCTCAGCCTCTCATTGTGACTCTTACTGGTGCCCCGAATCTGTCTGTGTATTACAAGATGGACTCAGTGGCCAAGGGCAGGACTGCTCTGTTGGGGGGAGCAGTGCCAATATCCTGAGGGCTGAGCAGGCTGCAGAGGCAGTAGGACTGAGCCCTGGAGGAAAGGACTCGCTTCACTCTACAGCAGCACTCAGGCTGGCACAGAAAGAAGGTGTGTCCTTCTGGCTAGAGAGGAGGTAGCAGCTATATGGGGCATTGGCTGAGGGGTCAAGCAGACTGCAAAAGGATATAAATGGGGGGGCACAACAGGTGTTAATCTCTCTCTTTCATTGATAATGGGAGAGAACAACTTATGAGCTTGCTCTGTGTAAAACTTTCATTCAGAGGAAGAGGGATTTATCTGGAGTTCTGGTCCCACGGGGGCTATGCGTCTGGGGGCTGCATCAAGTTGCAGTGACTGAGCCCTCCCCGAACTGAGCTGCTCTGCTGTGGGCTGTGTCCCCAACTCCGTGTATTGCTGGGGGAAACCAGAGCTTCTACCTAGTAGCACAACACGGTGGGTTGCCCCAGGGGGCAGGTCTCCCCGTGATTTTTGACCAACCTAACTAAATGCAGTGACGCAGGCATACAAGTGCTTCTGCCACCACAGAATGTATCTCATGGGCGGGGATGGCAAACCTCAGACCCAGGGGCCTTTGGCTTGCCTGGATCCCCAAGACTCAGACCTCACCTCCAGCTTTGGGGAGCCACACTGGTGCTCCATCCCCTTCGGCTCCCCACGCTCATGCAGGAGCACACACAATATAATAGCCTTAGCCCCCCCAGCTACTTGAATATATGAGGGGAACATGGGAAGTGTCTTTCTCCGCAGTCAGGGGCCACTGCAGTAAGGGGTTGGTTGGTTGTTTTGCTTCTCGCTTGTGTGTGGCCCCCAACTGATTTTTCTGTGTCCGTAGGGCAGGTCCAGGCCCCAAAAAAGGTTCCCACCTTGCTCTGTGAGAACTGGTAGAAATGGTGTTAGCAGAAAAACTTAAATACCTCAACCACACTACGACGGTTTCGGGTACAATTCAACCATTACAACTCTGCCAGCGCAACTTCTCACATCGACAAGGAAAACTTCTCTCACATCAACAAGGTCCAACGCATTCTAGAGAAGAGACTATGCACACACAAAAGTGTCTGATGTAAGATATTCTTCTAGAAGTTGTTAAGCAGAGGTGTAGGATTGAGAGGGCTGGCAGATGAAGACCAAAAAACATCACTGGGAGCCTGTGTCAGCAGGCACAAGCCAGCTACACTTGCTGTATAGACATAGAGAGCAGGATCATAGACCAGTTACAAGAGCTAGCTTGGTGGGTAAGCCAACCATTGGTGAGCTTTTATAAGTTTGTCCTTTCCTTCTGGCACTAGGATGTGGTTACTGAGAGTTACCTTTATAGTAACAATTACGAATCTAGTTAAAGAGAAGTCTGGGGGTATTTCAAACCCAGCCACCCTGAACAGATCTGCAAGGACCTTGCAACAGATAGAAAAGCAACTGGGATCATGCAAAGATAATCATTGAATCACAGAACACTATAACTGGAAAGGACTTTGAGACATCATCAACTCCAGTTCCCTGCCCTCACTGCAGGACCAAGCACTATCCAGCTGCACAGGAAAGCAGCCCGAGAGGAACTTCAGGGGGTTGCATGACTGTCCTGGCAACTCAGACAACCATGCTGAACAAACTGTGTTCCAGAAGGGGCAGATCAATCTCTCAAACTGAGTAGCTCATCATGCCACAGGCAGTACGGTAAAACCTCAGTCACAAACACCTCGCAAATGGCGCTTGTTCACAACATTCCCAACTCTAAACAAAATGTGATGGTTCTTTCAAAATTTACAGATGAACATGGACTTAATACAGCTTTACAACAACTAGTCAGAAGAAAAATGCTGTTTTCCCATTATTTTGGGGGGCTTTTTTGGTAGTTTATGTTTAACACAGCACTGTACTGTCTTTGTGGTTTGGGTTTGCTTGGTCTCTGCTGGTGCCTGATTTCCAGCTCCAAACAAGGTGTGGGTTGACTGGTCACTTCGTAACTCTGGTGTTTGTAACTCTGAGGTTCTACTGTAGCTCTGATACAAACAGAAGGACTCACAAAGAGAAGGGCTCACAAAGTACAACATAATTCAAAGGAAACTTCTCAGATTCTGGCTCAGAGTAACCAAAGATGCAGACATGAACACTGGGTATTGCATGAAATCACATATTGATAACAGGAGCCATAGACAGCCCTATGTAGGTAATACCCTGTTCCATCCAGAGGAGCTGCATTCTCAAACCAAAGTCTATACACGTCCCTTTATCTGCACCCTTTGCATGGGGACACAGTCAATCCATATTTACATGCAGCAGCTACTTTGCATATTTTGTGCCCAAGCAGCATTTCCTTGCCATAAACAGCAGCTATAAATTTTATTTCTTAAACTCAATGCCTTAGATTCTCAGTGTCTGTCAGACTAGAGCACAACCATGATTTCACAAAATCATCTGATCTGGCTCCTCGTTTTCTGGATTCAGGGTAAGATCGTCATCAGAGGAAATTAATACAATCTCTAATTGTCATAGATTTGTTCAAACGCAGATTACTTCTTTATTCCATGTACCCACAGAGATACAGTTCCAGTGGGTACAGACCTCAAAATAACTAGGTTGTGTACATGAAGATTAGTTACTAGATATTTGCGGGTTTCTTTTTTGCTTGACTTCATTCTATTTCATTTGATGTTATTGAAGTTTTCCTCTCATCCAGATGCCAAGGGACAGATTGTGCTGACTCAGACTCCAGAATCCCTGGCAGTGTCTCCTGGAGACACAGTCACTATCCGCTGCAAAGCCAGTTCCAGTGTTGGAACCGCAATAGCCTGGTACCAACAGAAATCAGGACAAGCTCTTAAACTCCTCATCCACAGCGCTTCCACACGTCACTCTGGGATCCCAGACCGGTTCAGCGGCAGTGGGTCTGGCACTGACTACACATTCACCATCAGCCGGGTAGAAGCTGATGATGCTGGAGATTATTATTGTCAGCAAGGCTACCTTCCTCTCATAGTGACACAGACCAATACAAAAGCCTCCCTGCTGCCTTCACTTTCTGTTCGTTATTGCAACAGCATTTTCCTGCAGCCAATCAAAGTATCCCACCAGCTGCTGCTGCTTCAGACTAGTGAAGTGTCTGTCAATTTCAGGTACCTCACTCCATTTTCCTCTAATCTTTGTGGGCATTTCTACAGGTCCTTCAAAGTAGCAGCAAACAACCAGAAGGTACAGAGTACTATATTAAATACATCTTCAGCAGCTTCCTTTAAAATGCTGAAGAGTTTTTCATCTTACACACTGGATCCCATTTCCCACTAATTGCAATACAAGTCCAACATCACACCTGAGAAATGGAAACTGCCATAGAAAGCCTTGAAAAATTACTCATGTAATCAGAAACAGCTGTCTGGCTGCTTCCCTCCCCAAATGCACAGCAAAGCAGTTACATACCTTTCCACACAATGTGGCGCATGTACTTAAGTATATTCCCAAAGGGGACAAAGGTTCACTGCACTGCTTTTCCAGAATCCCTGCAGACATGTTTGTTTCTACATTCCAGGAAGCTACACACCCTAATTCACATTTCAAACCATCTCAAATAGGAGAGAAAAAAGGGCTGACCCCAATTTTTAGCTAGTAGCCCAATGGCACCTTCTCTTCTATTCACTAAGCCGTGGGCAACAGCACATATCTCCTGTGCTGTGCACTGGGTTGCCAAAATATCCATGTTAAAAGGAACATCCCTTATTACTTCAATTCTTTCCAGTTTAAGTTCACAGAGTTATGAAGGGGGAGGGGAGATGATAACTATTCATCTCTCTCTCTCACTGATAAGGGGACCAAACATCTTATGAGCTTGCTCTGTATAAAACTCTCACACAGAGTAAGAGGGATTAATCCAGGTTTCTGGTCCCAATGAGGCTGTGCACCTGGGAGCTGGGCCAAGTCCCTGTAACTGGGCCCTTCCAGGGCTGAACTGCTCTCACGGTCTGTGTTGCTCTGCTGTGGGCTGTGACCCCAACTCTAGACGCTCCTGAGAGAAACCAGAGCTTCTGACCCTATAGCACAGGGCGGTCGGGCACCCCAGAAGGCAGAGGGATGGGCTCAGTGATACGATCAGTGTATCCACACACAGTCACAATTGGATCTCTGTGACTGAACCTGTCACGGTGATTATTTGACCAACAGAACAAGATGCAGTTACACAGCCATAACATTTCTTCTACAAGCAGAGAAAGTGTCTCTCTGGGAACTGGTGCAAACCATGCTGGCAAAAACACTTCAATACGGCAGCTGCACTATGATAGTTTGCTGGTCCAGGTCAATTGTTATAACTCTGCCAGCAAAACTTCTTACATAGACTAGATACAACAAACAGTGGAGAAGAGACTATGCACACACAAGTGTCTGCTGTAAGATGTTACAGAAGTTCTTAAGCAGAGCTGTATGCTAGGGAAGGGTGGGGATGACAACCAAAACCAACATCTGCCTCTACAATGACCAGAGTTGGGGTCACAGCCCAAAGCAGAGCAACAGCCCTGGGACCCTGAGTCAGCTGGCACAGTCCAGCCGCAGTTGCTGTGTAGTCACAACCTGAGACACAGCAGGGTTATAGCACAGATACCAGAGCTAGCCTTGCTGGTGAGGCAAGCACTGATGGGCTCTTATAAGATTATCCTTTCCTTCTGGCAGTGGGATGTAGGGCTACTGAAAGTTTCCTTTATAGTAACATATTGTTTAACCTGGTCAAACAGAAGTTCAGGGTTTTTTCAAACCCAGCCATACTGAACAGATCTGCATGGTCCCTGAAACAGTTAGAAAAGTGATTAGGATCAGCTGGGATTCACAGACAAGCATCCAGAGAGGAAGATTAGGGGATGGAAGGAATAGGGATGTATGGGTATGTCTACACTACCAACCTAGTTCGAACTAGGGTGGCTAATGTAGGCAATCGAAGTTGCAAATGAAGCCTGGGATATTTAAATCCCGGGCTTCATTTGCAACTTCGATTGCCTACATTAGCCACCCTAGTTCGAACTAGGGTGGCTAATGTAGGCAATCGAAGTTGCAAATGAAGCCTGGGATATTTAAATCCCGGGCTTCATTTGCAACTTCGATTGCCTACATTAGCCACCCTAGTTCGAACTAGGGTGGCTAATGTAGGCAATCGAAGTTGCAAATGAAGCCTGGGATATTTAAATCCCGGGCTTCATTTGCAACTTCGATTGCCTACATTAGCCACCCTAGTTCGAACTAGGGTGGCTAATGTAGGCAATCGAAGTTGCAAATGAAGCCTGGGATATTTAAATCCCGGGCTTCATTTGCAACTTCGATTGCCTACATTAGCCACCCTACTTAGAACTAGGGTGGCAGTGTAAACATACCCTATGTGACTAGTGACTCTACTAATTGCTTTTGCCCCAACTTTCTGCCTCTATTACAGAGAGGCAGCAAAGGGGGAGAGCAGGAGCCAGTGTTATGGGGAGCCAGCTTAAAAGCCGGTTCCCCCCCAGCACCAACTCTTTGGGGGAGGTGGCAGGGGTGCAGCAAGGAACTGGCAGTGCTTTCGCCTTTGACATGTAGCTACATTTCAAAAGCAGATGCTCACGGGAGCAGGGGACGAGTAGGGTATTTAAGCAGCCTCCCACTGGCTCTGCGCTCCCAGCTTTTGAAATTACAAAAGTAGGAACATGCTCCTCACAAACGCTTTACCCAGAAGGGGCTCTTGTACATTTCAAAAGCAGAGAGGGCGGGGCCAGCCGGGGACTGCTTGAGTCCCCCATTTGCCCAGTGCTCCCTCAGCACTTCCGCCTCTAAAATGGAGCAAGAGGAGGCATGGCTCTTGCTACATTTCAAAGGCAGAGGTATCCTTATCAGCTAATAGAATAGTCGATGATCACTGCATTGACTACTCGATTCGTTGATTAATCTAAATGTAACATCCTCAGTGGTGAACAAAGTGTGTTCCATAAGGGGTGGATCAATGTCTCACACAGAGGAGCCGCTCATGCCACAGGCAGTACGGTAAAACCTCAGAGTCATGAACATCTCGTGAAGGAAGCTAGTTCAGAAGGTTTGCAACTCTAAACAAAATGTGATTTTCTTTAAAAGTTTACAGCTAAACACGGACTTAATAAAGCTTTAAACCAGCTATGCAGGAGAAAAATGCTGTTTCTCCCCCCCCCCCCCTCCTTTTTTATTAAAGGGATGGTTACTTGGTCCTGCTGTGAAGGCAGGGGACTGGACTCAATGACCTTCAAGGTCCCTTCCAGTTTAGAGAGATAGGCAATCTCCATTTAAAAAAAAAAAAAAAAAGTTCTACTGTACAACTGATACCAACAGAAGGACTCACAAAGCATGATATAATTCAAAGGAAACTTCTCAGATTCTGGCTCAAAGTAACCAATGAGGTAGAGAAACACAGGATATTGCATTAAAGCATATACTGCCAACACAAGCCATATTCAGCTGCATGGCAGGTATTACTCAGTTCAATCTATAGGCACTGCATGCTCAGACCAAAGACTGTGTACGTTCCTTCCTCTGCACTCTCTACATGGAGACAAACCCAATGCACATTTACATGCAGTGGCTGTTTTGCATATTTCTGCCCAAGCAGCATTTCCTCACAATGCACAACAGCTATAAATTTTATTTCTTAGACTTTATGCCTTATATTGTCAGTGTCTATCAGACTAGAAGGACAATGATGATTTCGCAGAATCATCTGATCTGGCTTCTAGTACTCTGGATTCAGGGTAAGAGCATTAGAGGAAATTAAGACAATCTCTCACCAATGATTTCTTCAAACCCAGATTAATATTTTATTCCATGAGAACACAGCGAGATACAGTTCCAATTGGTGCATACCTGAATGCAACTAGGTTGACTACATGAAGATTACTTACTAGAGATTTGCAGATTTCTTTTTGCTTTTTTAAATTGTATGTCATTTGATGTTAGTCGGTTTTTCTCTCATCCAGATGCCAAGGGACAGACTGTGATGACTCAGACACCAGAATCCTTAGCAGTGTCTCCTGGAGACACAGTCACTATCCGCTGCAAAGCCAGTTCCAGTGTTAGCAACTACATGGCCTGGTACCAACAGAAATCAGGACAAGCTCCTAAACTCCTCATCCACAGCGCCTCCACCCGTCCCTCTGGGATCCCAGACCGGTTCAGTGGCAGTGGGTCTGGCACCGACTTCACATTCACCATCAGCCGGGTAGAAGCTGATGATGCTGGAGATTATTACTGTTATCAAGGCTATAGCTCACCTCTCACAGTGATACAGACCAGCACAAAAACCTCCTTGGAGCCTACTGTTTTACTTCCTCATTGCAACAGCTGTTTTCCTTCAGCCAGTTAGAGTATCACACCAACTGCTGCTATCTCAGAGTGGAGGAGTGGTAACTGCTGTAGAAAGATTCTAGAAATTATTTGTGTAAGCAGAACCAGCTGTGTGCCTCCCTCCCCATACAGGCATCAGAGCAGTGAGACCCCTTTCCACACAGTATTGTGCATGTCCATAAGTCTGTTCCCAGAGTGGACAGAGAGAAAGATTCGCTACAATACTTTTCCAGACTCCCTTCAGACAAGTTTCTTTCTACATTCCCGTAACTACTGATTCTGATTCACATTTGGAGAACAAAACCAATTCTTAGCTGGCAGCACAATTGCACCTTATTTTGTATTCACTCAGCAGGGAGCAACAGCACATATCTCCTGTACTGTGCATTGGGTTGCCAAAATATCCTTATTAGAAGGGACATCTCTTATTACTTTGTTTAAGTACAAGTTGAACCTCTCTAATTTGGCACCCTCAGAACCTAACCAGTGCTGAACCAAGGAATTTGCTGGACCATGGGAGGTCAATATTGTCCAACAGCATTACCAGCACTGCTACTGTTCATAGGGCTCTTAGAACATATTGAATGGTAAATTAGAGCTAAACAACAACAGAGAACATAGAGCCAGGACTGGTAGCTGTAAACAACCTTTATGGGACCATGGAAATCTTGGCCATTCCCATGATAAGTGGATATCCAGCTAACTACAATCGTTGCAGACGACAGATGTTGCTGGACCAGAGAGTGCTGGATTAGAGAGGTTGAACTTGTACAAGAAGATCAGGAGTAGCTGAGTGCTGCAAAAAGCAGCAAGAAATACTCCTGGTGAACATAGAGTTCTGCTTATGTTCTGCTTATTATTATTAATGATAATGATAACAGGAGGAGGAGGAGTGGGGCACAGGAGTGCTAAAAATAATCCCTTATTTTTACAATGTTGCCAGCTCAGTGTTACTGTTCTGTGCAAGTGTGTAATTCTCAAACCATTTGCTTCATAAACTACTGCACCCTCCATCGCCCTTGTGCATCCCCACTGAAGGCATAGCAGAGAGGACTGGAACTTGTTTTAACAGCGAATCATCACACTTCTCCCGCCTTTTCCTGGGTCCTTTCCCAAACAGCCCCCACATGCTGGGATATAGATTCCCTGTGCCAGTGGGAGCATTTCATTACTTGCTCTTGTTAATTTTCACCGTATTGCTCCACAGAAACACAAAGCAACCAGTGACAGTGTTTTTTTATCAACACTGCACTGCCCAGACAAACCCTCCCAGAGCCCTCCTTGGTTTTGCAGGAGCACGACCATCCCATTCTATAGGAGTAACAGAAGGGGGAAAAAACCTCCTGTCTTGATCAACTCTACATGGGAATCAGTGAAACAGGCTGGATTAGAATTCTGACCTCCAGCTCTCCAACCCCGTGCCTATGCTTCCATGTCCACCAGGCTGGGCTGGACTCTCCCAGGGATTTGAATCTCAAAGAATAATCCCAAATGAATGAACTGTTGGTCTACATGGACATTTTCATGTTGAGTACTATCTTTTATAAAAGCTTGTAATTTTCTAAAATTAATACTCTCTCTAAGCTATGTAGCATGCCAGGGCTATGAAAGTTTGCACAGCTGTGCACCCAGAACTTTGTTCAGATTACTTTGGCTCCACCTCACAGCTGGAGAGTGAGCAATCAGGGACAGAGGTACCTCCCAAGTCTTTCATTTACACCAAACCTGATGTAAGTAACCGATGACGGGCCGTCAAAGGCACTGGAAAGCCATGGAGACAATGGGGG